CTGCCCAGGAGGGGGTGCGGCCGCTGTGTGCTGGCGTTTGTAAATAAGCCAACGTGTCCAGAGGGGATCCTGACCGGCTACCCAGGAAGGGCCGGTGTTGGGGCCACGAGGTGGGGTTCTGCATTGGGGGATGGAGGTGGCTGTGGCTTTTGGTTGTTTTTTTGTGCCACATCCGGCTGTCTCCGGGCTGACTCCTGGCTCTGTGCTCATGATCACTCAAGGCAGGGCTCAGAGGACCATTGGGGGATCAAACCCGGGTCAGTCACATGCAAGATGAGCGAGCGCTTTCCCCTCTGTCCTACCTCTCTGGCCCCCATTTTATCTTCGTTGCTTTTTACTTTTTTGCTTTTTGGGTCACACCCAGTGATGCTCAGGGGTTCCTCCTGGTTCTGCACTCAGGAATTACTCCTGGCGGTGCTCGGGGGACCATATGGGATGCTGGGTATCGAATCCAGGTCAGCTGCGTGCAAGGCAAATGCCCTGCCTACCGTGCTATTGCTCCAGCCCCATCCCCATTTTGTTTTCATGCAACAACAATGGAAACCTAAGTGGGCGAGAGCGCTCACGGGACTGGAGCGTGTGCCAGGCACACACGGGGCCCAGGGTTAGGTCTCTGACACTGCATGAACTCCTGAGCACTGCAGGGTGGAGCACTGCTGGAGAGCCTCTCTACACAAACAAGAGAACCTGAGAATTTTTATTTATTTTTATTTATTTTTGCTTTTTGGGTCACACCCGGCGATGCACAGGGGTTACTCCTGGCTTTGCACTCAGGAGCCACTCCTGGCAGTGCTCAGGGGACCACATGGGATGCTAGGAATCAAACCCGGCTCGGCCGCGTGCAAGGCAAACGCCTTACCTGCTGTGCTATCTTTCCAGTCCCAAACCTGAGAATCTTTAAACGGAGCAGGCGCTCCTGTGCCGTTCACCCCACTTGCCAGCGGAGGCTCTGGGTTTGCAGGGGAGGAGAGGACGGATCCCCCAGCCTGTAAGGCAGGAGGCACCCATACACTGCCCTGCCTCGGCTCTGATCAAAAGCTGGCACAGGGCCAGGTTTCTGCCACCCTCCGATTTGTATTGGTTTGGAGGCCACACCCATCAGTGCTCAGGACTTACTCCTGACTCTGTGCTCAGGGATCACTCCTGGCGGTGCTGGGGGGGACTGTATGTGGTTCTGGGGTCTGAACCGTGGTCGGCCGCGTGCAAGACCAGCACCTTCTCCGCTGTCCTGTGCTCCGGGCCTGATGCCTTTTGAGATGGATCAGCACTAAGTGTCACAGGCACCAGCGTCACTGCAACTATACCACAAGGGTCTGTGTGTCCGGCAGGAATTTGGTGGGGGAGACGCATCTACAGGGCCCTCGGGTCTTGAGAGAGAGGATCAGAGGCCAGATGACCAGAGTCAGCAGAAAATTTACCTGAGGGAAGAAAGGCAGTTTAGGGCTTGGAGCGGTAGCACAGCGGGGAGGGCACTTAACATGTGGCAGACCCAGGTTCAATCCCCAGCATCCCACATGGTGAATGAGGAGCCAAGAATGACCCCCGAGCATGCCTGGGTGTGGCCCAAAAACTAAAAAACAAAAATGAGAGAAAGAAAGAAAGGCAGGGAGCTGGGACACAGGGTCCCTTAAGTAGCCCCTTTTCTTTTTTCTTTTTGGGTCACCCAGCGATGCTCAGGGGTTACTCCTGGTTCTGCACTCAGGAATTACTCTTAGCGGTGCTTGGGGAACCATATGGGATGCTGGGAATCGAATCCGGGTCAGCTGCATACAAGGCAAACAAACGCCCTATCTACTGTACTATCGCTATAGCTCTGGCTCCAAGTAGACCCTTTCTTTCTTTTTTTTTTTCTTTTTGGGTCACAACCGGCAATGCACAGGGGTTACTTCTGGTTCTGCTCTCAGAAATTACTCCTGGCAGTGCTCAGGAGACCATCTGGGATGCCGGGGATTGAACCCAGGTCAGCTGCGTGCAAGGCAAACGCCCCACCTGCTGTGCTACTGCTCCAGCCCCAGCAGACCCTTTTCTTAATGGATCCTTAAGTGTCCTCTGCTCCTGGGAAGTGTTGGAAACCATCTCTTTATATTCTTTTCTGCTAGGAAGATGGGTGAGCACTGCATCGGGATTAGGACATGCAGGGTGGGAGGGGAAGGGCCTGGGAGGGGCAGGGTGCCTGGGAAGTCTCTCCCGCATCTGGGTCTATCGGGGTACGGCTGGGTGCAGATTCAGGGCCCGGCCCGGCCCCATTCTGGGGAACGTTTCTCTGGGACTCTTTCTTTTAGTCTTTCCTTGCCTACTTCCTATCCCATGGAGCTCTGTCATTGCCCCTTCTTGGAGCATCTGAAATCTAAGCTCTCAGTTCTTGTGCTGGGTGGTTCCTCTGGGGAAGAGGGGTAGCTTCCCAGGGTGGCACAGTGCCCCATGAAAGAAGGAGCCTGTCTCCTCACCTCCTTGCTCCCAGGCCTGGGAAGGCGGAGATGGCCAATCATTGCGAAGCACTTAGTAAGAGTCCCTGGCATTATGTCACAGCTCAATAAATGGGAGCTATTCTTAGCCACTCTTACAAGAAGCTGCAGGATAATCGTGGTGCATCTTCCTGGAGGGCCTGGCTCGCCGCACAGCAGTGATAAGAGAGGAAAGGGCATCCTTTGTACAGGAAAACAAACTCACGCATTAGTTGCGAGCCAACACGCGCTGATTTTACACATCTAAGACCAGGGCGCCTGGGCAGGGAGGCGGCCCACCCCTTCAGTCCAGGGACACGAGAAGTAGCGAAACCTCTGCACTTGGGACCACGAACCCTGGGCTCAGCTGGGCTCTGCCGTGACTGTCCCCTGACCTTAGACACGAAGTTCATGTGTCCTGGCTGCTCATTGGTAGAATGGGGTGAACACCCCCTTCCCTGGCTGGGGCTGGTGCTGCCAACGCCTCAGGCATCAGGGGTCAGGGGCTGCCTCAGCAGGCACCATGGGTGGGACCAAAGGCCTTGACGTCCTGAGCCAGGCCCAGAGGGACAGTGGCCTTGGTGCAGAGACTCAAGGGGTGGAGGTGGGAATGGCGGTCGGGGAAAGGAAGGCCCTTCGTGGCAAGAGCAGCTTTGTCCCCAAAGGGATCCTACCGCCCCTCAACCCGCTCTGTTCTGCTCAACCCTGGTGGTGCTCAGGGTTGGAGGTATGAGAGATGGAGGGTGGTCGGCCATGTGCAAGACCAGCACCTTACCCCTAGACTCGTCTCTGGCCCTTGCTCCAGTGTTTTCTATATCGGAGTATGAGAATCTTCTGAGATTTGTCTTCAGTGACCAATCCACACCCAACATCCCTGACACTGAGTATGCAGCCTGGGCCTCTCAGGGCCTTCAGGCCTGGGTGATTCTCACGTTTCTGTCCTCAGCAGCCTGTAAAATACCCCAAATCACGCCGGCTCCTAGTTACATATTTTAAAGCAAGAATTTACCAGTTACCGTACAGCGGGGAGGGTGCTCGCCTTGCACGTGACCAACTGGGGTTTGATCCCCGAACCCCCAAATGGTCCCTTCAGCCCCACCAGAAGTGATCCCTGAGTGCAGAGCCAGGAGTAAGCTCGCTAGGTGTGGCCCCAAAACAAACAAAAACAAAACCACCCCAAAACACCAATGGGGAGCAGACCAGCTGCATAACAGTTCTGCCAACGTAGACATTTAGTCTTAGGTGGGTGACTGTGAAGTGTCAGTGGTTAAACTTTATTGAGGCAACTATATGCTGGCCACTGTTTCATTTCCTCTCAGCTTTCCCAATTGCCCGATGAGATTGTCACCCTGCTTGACAGATGAGAAAATCATGGTGAAAAACACTGCATCAGCCTGACTGTCTTTGTGTCACGAACGACGGTGGCCCAAATCAGGATCTGCTGCTCCAATTTTTAGCTACTCTTCTCTCCATCCACACTAACCGTCATGGAACTTGGAAGTCACTTTGAGGAGTGGATACGCAAGTCACAGACGCCACTCACTCGCTCTCGGCCGGGCCTTCAGTCCTGCATCCATCCTCAGAGGTCATGACCTTGGGGCGTCTACCCCAGTACCCTCAAGGAGCACTCTGTAGGTGAGTCCACTAGAGCCTGGTTGACAAGCCTCCTCCTCGGAGTGGCATGCATTTTCCCGAGGTTGATTGGCGTGCTTTTCTTTCTTCTCCGGAGAGAGCGGTCGAACGCAGTCCCCCACTGCCACAAATGATGCAGTCCAGTTCCCCCCATTTGGTGAAATCGCTGGAGTGCCACGGCTAAGCCTGGCCCGGGGAAAGCCACCCTGCCAGCTTCATTCAGCACCTCAGCGAGGCCCTGAGACCGCCCCAGGCGGCCCGCCCGTAAACACCCGGAGGCCAGGAAAGCAGCTTTCTCCTCCCACTCCCCTCCCCTGGATTTCGCTGGGCTGGCGACCCCGGAAAGGCTGCTAAATCCGCCCGGGAGGGGGGGCCCACTCCCCGTCTCCCCGGCGACCGCCTCCGCCCGGGCCCGCCCCTCCGCGTGCAGCCCACCCGCCCCGGGCAGCATCTGTAGCGTCCCCTAGCGACGGGCGCCGGCCCCTAGCAACCGCATCCCGGCCCTGGCGCCGGCGGCACGTCGCGCTACGTCAGCGCGTCCGGCCCCGCCCCGCGGCACGCAGGCCACGCCCCGCACCACCGGAGCCTCGAGCAGGCCCCGCCCGGCTCAGGCCCCGCCCCTCTCAGGCCCCGCCCCCGCCACCCACCCGAGCCTCGCGCAGGCCCCTCCCCGCCCCACCCCGCGCCGCTGCCGCCGCCGCCACGAGCCTCGCGCAGGCCCCGCCCCGCTCAGGCCCCGCCCCACGCCGCCGCAGCCGCCGCCGCCGCCGCCCGAGCCTCGTGCAGGCCCCGCCCCGCGCAGGCCCCGCCCCACTCAGGTCTCGCCCCCGCCCCGCGCAGGCCCCGCCCCGCCGTCGCCACCACCCTAGTCTCACACAGGCCCCGCCCCGCGTAGGCCCCGCCCTCCGCCCCGCCCCGCGCCGCCGCCGCCGCCGCCGCCGCCGCCGCCGCCCGAGCCTCGCGCAGAGCAGTTATGGCGGATCCCGCAGCGCCCGCAGCGCCGGCGCCCGCCGCGGACGCGGGCCCCGAGGCGGGCTCGCAGCGCCTGCTCTTCTCGCACGACCTGGTGTCGGGCCGCTACCGCGGCGCCGTGCACTTCGGCCTGGTGCGCCTCATCCACGGCGAGGACTCGGACTCGGACGGCGACGACGACGGCCGCGGGAGCTCGGGCTGCTCGGAGGCGGGCGGCGCGGGCCACGAGGACGGCAGGGCCAGCCCGCTGCGCCGCGGCTACGTGCGCGTCCAGTGGTACCCGGAGGGCGTCAAGCAGCACGTGAAGGAGACCAAGGTGCGGGCCGGGCGGGCCGGGTTGGCGGACGGGCGGGCCGGGGCTGGCCGGGCCGGGTCGGGCCGCGCCGCGCCGCGCCGCGCTGCGCCGGGCCGGGCCGGGCCGCGCCGCCCGAGGCCGCGCCGGGAGCCGCGTCGCCGGGGACGCCCGGTGCAAAGTCATTGCCGCGGCCGGGCCACCCCCCGCGCCGCCGACCCGCCCTCCGGCCCGCGGCCGCGACCCCCGCCGCGGCTCCCCCCGCATTGTGCGCGCCCCGGGGAAGGCCGGGCCGCGGCGGGCGGGCGGGCAGGGCTCGGGGGCGCCCACCGCCGAGCTCAGCCCCCTTTCCGCACGGCCCACCCGCCCCGCCGCCCCGAGTGTGTGTCCGTGTGTGTGTGTTGCCCGGTGGCCTCCTCCTTCCGATTCTTGCGGGAACTTCGCGAGTGCGACCACTGGCCACCCCAGCCCCGGTATTAATAGTGCTCGTCGGGGCTGGGAGGTGGGGGAGGTGACAGCTGCCTCCGGGTTGGTGGCTCCCAAGTGCCGCCGCACTTCTTCTGGGATCCGGGCGGAGAAGGAGAGCGCCCCCCTGGTGCCCCCAGATTGGGGAGCCAGCGGGGTTTTGCTGGCCCCGGGCTGTTAGACCTGCCTGTGAACCCCCCCAGCTCCCTCGCTGTGGTTTGGGCCGAGGCTGGTGAACATCACAGCTGTCCAAAACAAAAGGGCCTACGATGGAAACACCCCAGATACCCTGGGGCCCCCTGAGGTTGTTTGGGAGATTTTGTTTTTTCCCCTGCCCCCCCCTCCCGTCTTGTTTTCCTTTTCCTGGGTGTGAGGTGCCTATCGGGGCGCACACACCTCTGTATCTCCGCGGCTCCTCGCCGCCGCCGCCACCTCCCCTTCGAGAAAGCTTGGCTAAGCAGGAATCGGGCCTGGGCGGCGGCGCGAGGTCTGATTTCAGGGGGTGGCTCTGGCCAAGTTAATCTGGGCTCCCCACACACTGGGAGGAGACAAAGGCGCCACACCGCCACGGGGGTCGTGAGCCCAGCCCACGCCTGGGGACAGCTGGCTGGTCACTGAGGTCCCCGGGCCCGGAGAGACCTCTGATGACCGCAGAGCAGGACTGGCAGGTGCAGGCATTCCCAGACCCTGGCCGGCCCGCAGACGGGTGCCAGTGGGCCGCCCTGTCTCGGGCTCAGAAAGACGCCAGCAGTCACCTGCAAAAGTATGTGGAAGTCATTACGGTGCGTGGCATGGTCCCCGGGCGGAATGGCCGTCCCTGTGATGTCAGGAGAGGCGCCGCTTTCCCCAGAGGCCCAGTGACGGGGCGCTCCTCGGTGTCCTCCCCTCCCGCCCTTTCCGGGTCTGCTGGCCCTGCTCCCCGTCCCCGGCTGCCAGGTGTTCCGGCTGGCCCTGTGGGTTGACTTTGTATACTTGCTCGCTGGGCCTCCGCCACCCCCCCCCAGACCCGCTTATGCACAGTTTGCTCTAAGATGTGCATTTTGGAATTCCATGGAAAATGACTTCCAGGCACCAGCCCGGCTCTATTTTGAAGCCGCTTTGTCATGACCTGCTTTGAACCGACTTGAGAGTCCTAGTGACTTCTGGCGTTTTCTTTGCCACTGTAGTTCCTGGAGCTCCTGTCTGAGCATGAACCTCCCCAGGGGCGGAGGGACTTCAGAAGCTGGTAGCTTGGGGGGCCCAGTTCTTTCAGGAACAGATTTGTTTGTTTGGAGGAAGTTTGTCCTTCTAGGTAGCTATTAGCAAAACAAAACAGAGCACTTTATTACTCGGAGGCGTCGGCCCTGGTCAGTTGGCATTGGCTGGCCCTGCCTGGCTCCTGGCCACGGGCAGGGTGGCACGTGCGGGGAGAGTCTGGCTCTCCTTGTTCCCACTCGTAGATTCCACTGAGGTGACCGAGGCATGTGCAAAGGACCTTTGGACCAGCGAGCGTGCTCTGACCGGGCCGGGTCCGGGTGACATCGAGGCAGTGCTGGGTGACACTGTTTTGCAAACCTGCCCCCTGCTGGGATGTTTGTTGGGCCTGTCCCTTCCACGTGGCAGGATTGGTCTGTCCTGGGTATTTCCATCCTGTGGATATGAATTTGGAGCGGGTGCAGAAAGACTTACTAGTCTCCTGATTTCTTGGACGCTTTTTTGCTGTTCTTGGGTGCAGGGGGTTCCCCCGCCCCCCCTGCCCCATAGTGCTCAGGATTTACTCCTGTCTCTGCTCACGGGGATCGAACCCGAGTTCGCTGCATTTAAGGCAAGTGTTTTAGCAATCCTAAACTTATCTCTCCAACCACCCCTCTGGAACTTTTTTTTTTTTTAAGTTTTGGGCACACCCGACGATGCTCGGGGGTGACTCCTGTCACTGTACTCAGTGCTTGGTGGATCGTGTGGGATGCCAGGGCTTGGACCTGGGTGAGCTGCAGGCAGGGCTAGCACCCGGCCCTGTGCTATGGCTCTGGCCCCGCTGTGACTTTTTTTTTTAGGGAACGAGTACAGAAAGAGCAGAGAGGCCAGCATCAAGCCCATTCCGGCCATGGCCGTGCAGACTGTCTTCAGAGCAAGTGGGACACTCTCAACACTGCGAGATTTCTAGTCCGATTCTTCGGGGGGGGGGTCCCACCATCGGGCTTGCCCCTCTTCAGGCTCAAGCCTGCCCCCTCCTTCCCTTCTCTCCCACTCTGCATCCCCCATGGGGAGCTGTTGAACAACAGAAAGGTTGCTGCCTGCCCCTTAGTCTCCCCCGGGGGCTCGGGCCCCTTCATCAGTGGGCCTCTGTTGGGGAGGTAAAGGTAAGGTAAAGGCCCTCCCGGCTCAGAATAAGGCAGGCTGACCACCTTCTTGCCTCAGTGGCCCCCGGCTCGACCCCGGGTTGTGTTTGTAGGGGGTGGAGCCCCTGTGAAGTCAGGGCACCTGCTGTCTGCCCAGCCAGGCTGGGGCTGGCCTGTCCCACGGGTGATGTCCGGGTCACGTGCCTGAATTGCACCAACATTCGGGTTCTCTGGGTTGATTCTGTCTGCCCGTGCCCGCCTGGCTGGCGCGTGCGCGCGTGTGTGAAGCATCCCTCAGGAATTGGCTCTGCAGTTTATTCCTGGCTCCTCCGGCCAGCGTTTCCGCGGGGAGACCTATTTAGGTGTAGCATCACAGCACGTGAAGTTTGCTTGCCTCCAGCTTGTGCAGGTGCCGGACCCATTAAAAGCGTTGTTGGCAGTGATGTCATCAGGGAAGTTATGTAAGGTCAGACAGGGTGCAGGACCAGTGCATGACATTGCCTGCGGGGGGGGGGGGAGGGGGGACGGGGCGCTGGAGACTCTCGGCTCCCCTGTGACTTTCCTCCCGTCTCTTGGGTTCCCCTTCCGACTCCTGCCCTCGATGGAGCCTGTCAGACTTGGAGCCTGGCCCATGGGCACGTTAGCCAAATGCTGTGTGTGTGTGTGTATGTGCGTGTATGTGCGTGCATGTGCGTGCGTGCGTGTGTGTGTGTGTGTGTGTGTGTGTGTCCCCTGGGATTAGAAGCATGGGCTCTCTTCCGTCTGTCACTACTGAGTCACCTTGGCCGAGTCACTGCCGTGTTTTCTCTGCTGAAACATGAGTGAAGTGTGTCTCCCTCACCCCCGGAGGTAGCTGGCGTGGGGACCCTCCCGAGTGTCCCCTGACATTCCACCGCGTGTCACCTTGGGAGTCAGCATGGGAGGAGTCATGCTAGAGGGGTTCCTATTGGTCGGAGGTGCTTTTTCCTGTGGGTTACTGACTTCACACCTGGATCAAACAGCCGTGCACGCCGCCGTTCCCCTGTTGGCTCTGGAGGAACTTGGGAACGTGTGGTTCAGGTTTCAGCTGTGTGGCCAGAGGCTGCCCCACCAGGCACTGTGTTCTCAGCACTGAGCCCAGGGCCAGGAATAGCCCCGAGCACTGCCGTATGTCACTCAGAGACCAGAACCAGGGGGAGAGACAGTACAGCAGGTAGGTGCTGGCCAGCACACGGCCAGCCTTGTTGGATGGTTGGCAGGACGGATCCCTGAATGCAAAGCCAGGAGCAGGCCCAGAGCACCTCCAGGTGGGCTCAACCCCGCCATTCCTCCCCTACCCACCTACCCACCCTCCAAAAAAGAGCTGGAGAGACCATCAGGTGTAAGCCTCTGGCCTTGCCTGTTGCCGACCCCAGCTCAGTCCCAGGCACCGTATGTGATCCCCAGTGCCAGCAGGAGTGGTCCCTGATTGCAGACATCACCTGCAAAGCACTGTGGCCTGGCCTGAGACCAGCAACGTCAGAGACCCCCCAAAGGGTCGGGGACAGTGCCAGAAGTTCCAGAAGCAGGGGATGGGTTGATGGATGCCACCCTAAGGATGGCAGTCTGTTGCTTGGGTCTTTGGGGCCACACCCAGGGCTGACTCCTGACTCTGTGCTCAGGGGTCACTCCTGGCCGCGCATAGAGGGCCACACGGGGTGCCGGGGATTGAACCCGGCTGCCCTGTGTGCAAGACTAGTGCCAGCCACTGGACTATGGCTCCAGCCTCTGCTTTGGATTTTTTTGGGGCGGGGGAGGGTCAGACGGAGTGATGCGGGGTGGGGGTCTGCCTGTGTCGGCGCAGTCCCAGGCGTCTGACCCTGCCCCCGCCTCTGCGTGGATTTGAGGGAAGTAGAAAGAGCAGCAGTGAGTGTTCCTGTTTCCTGACGTCTGGGTGCCGCCTGTGTGGCGTACGCTCGATGCCCTCCCAATCAACGGCCTGCTTCAGGGTGGAAACTGAGGGACAGAAAGGCGGAGGGACCCAAACACAGATCGAGGTGGACCCGGTTTGTGACATTTGGGACTCCTGTGTGTTTACCAGACACTCCGTCTGCACGCCTGGGCCGGGCTAGACCTCAGGCCAGTGGTCCGCTCCTGGTGCGGGTGGGAAGAAGCAGGTGCAGAGGTGCCTGCGGAGACGAAGGCGTTGGCCTTCTCGAGGGCAGTGGCCAGGGCCCGTGCCCTCCTGCACATCCCGTTCCTCCTGATCCCGCCCCTCCACCC